ATTTTTACGGTTACAGCTTGATAAATCTAGTAAAACTTACAGTTTGTTACACCTTTTTTTAATATAATCAAACATCTTAGGGTAATATTACGTTCTTTTCAAACTGTGTTGTTTTGGTTATATGAAATGCTATTATAATTCTCTGAACCATACTTCCATAATAATACCCAAATTAATATTAACGAATAAATGTTCCTACTTACTTATATTGTAATTAGTATTTTTGAAACACTTCTCAAAAGCAGTCGTGGCCGAGTGGTTAAGGCGACGGACTAGAAATCCGTTGGGATCTTCCCGCACAGGTTCGAATCCTGTCGACTGCGAGAACTTCTAAATTTTTGCTCACATAAAATATTTTAATATTTATTAAAATACCAACTACAGGATGGATCAAATAATTTAAGCTTTTTTCATCACATCATTAAATGTTTCTTTCTTTGTGAATAGGAGACTAACACAGTGCTACAAGGCTTCCACAAACAGTGCTAAACCATAACATCTTTTTTTTTATTAAAATTGCTTTGCCCCCTCCCCACAGTAGCTCAACAGTAAGCTAGAGGCTTATGATTCTAAAATTCATGGTTCGATCTCTGTGGTACAACTTTGTGCTTAAACAAAATACCATTTGTTTATTTCAAGAAGGTAATAGAGCAGTCAATTATTCGGGTAGTTAAGTTAAAAGAAAATTCAACTGTATATAAGTACAGATAAATGTATAGGAATATGAGGCAGGGGAAGATCCAGAGTATATAATGTGCCAGAAGTGAACCCTATTAGTTTTTGTGTTGGTCAAGAAAACTGAGACGTGGTTTATTTCTTTAAAATTTTCACACAAGAACTATATGCACCTAGACGTCCCTAATTTCGAACTGATAAACTAGAGAAAAGAATCTGGTCAACAGAATAATGAGATTTGACCCTCACGCTTGTAGTGCACCAACGACCCCTAAATGCAAAGCGCAATTTTGTGGCAATGAGACGTGAGCCATGAACCCTTGGATTCACAGTCCGTGTGCACTAACCTTCTGACTATCTCCAGCACCCGAGACATGGAAGCTAGAGTGCTTTTACAAATACTTACAGAAAAAATACAAAATATTAGTTCGTAAAATTATTATATTGCTTCTCTGTTAAATCTAAAAATAGTCGAGATAATGTAAAAAACTGATAACTATACTCAAAATCGTATTAAAATGCTAGAACTTCTGATATCTGGTTAAGTCTTAATTGTTCTCAGAGGCACCGATATTTAACATAATATTCATAAAATAATTTATTTAAAATGTGTCTTCAGATTATAATATGGTTTTATTAAAACAAACCAGTTTTTAATTAAAATTATGCGTTTTTGACCTTTAGTATCTCTGTTATGTAGAATGTATAAAGATATTTACATCAAAATGTTTTCAGTTCTTGTGGGTCCAAAACAAAAAAAAAAAAAGAATCTCTACGTGATGCTATATATTAACACACACTAATCCCACGAGAACCAAGTTACATGCATTTAACTGCAGTACTACAAGTTAAATGTTAATTTCTCTTAAGGTTTGTTTGTTTTCGTGACAGGAATTTAGTTTTTAAAAGAAAGAAACTTTCCTTAAATGGGGTGGTCAGGGATATTATTATTCCCCTTCGCCCCGCACGCTGTAATTTTATTAATGTAGATGTTTGGTTTGTTATGGATTTCGCGCAAAGCTACACGAGGGCTATCTGCGCTAGCCGTCCCTAATTTTGCAGTATAAGACAAGAGGAAAGGCAGCTAGTCATCACCACCCACTGCCAACTCTTGGGCTACCCTTTTTACCAACGAATAGTGGGATTGACCGTCACATTATAACGCCCCCACGGCTGAAAGGGCGAGCATGTTTGGTGTGACGGGGATTCGAA